AATCACTTCCAATCCACCCTTGCTGTCCTCCACGACTCTTCCTCTGCTCAACATGGGAGAAGGAAGGCCGTTTGGGTGCAGTGCTGGACCGTCGCCACCCTGCTCCTCCTTCCTACTCCTCATCTGAGACCTGCTTCCTCGGCTGGAATCGCCCCACCCATCCCCACTCCCAGAAGTCATGAAACCAAAGGTCCGTGCAACATTCTTCACTGAAGAACTAAAGCAAACCGCTGAAAATTAGGCACTATACATTCTGTCCTTGAAAATCCCCGACCCATCCCCACAGCTAAAGAAAACTTCTTAGGTGTCCCCTCGACTCTGGCGACCTCCTACTGTATTGCAAGGCCTTTCCTGACCCACTCACATCCTCTGGAACACTCCTAAAACCAATTTATGTTGCTTGATTTGAAGTTAATTTACCAGTCTGTTTTAGCTGCTTCTCCCAACTCCTATAAGCGTTTCCTCCCAAGGTCAGACCATGTGCGGGTTACTTTGTTTGCTTTTTCCTTTTGTTTTCTTTTGTTTGGTTTTTAACAAAAGATTTCATAGAAAAATTATACCACTTCCTTAGGGGCAAAACCAGGAATGTGTGTTGTCCTTTTAACTAGCATGTTTCCCTTCCCTGTTATTTTACTCGGCAACTGATAATGTAGTCCACAATGTCAGGGTCATAACTACCAAAGCCGGTGCATACCGGCCAGCTTCAGAAGTGTTTCTGCAAGGGAAAAAGAAAATGATTGCAATCTAACTCAAGGTCATAAGAGATAACAGCTGAGATAAAAGAATTAAAATCCTCATTTTCTGCTTCCACACAAATCAGTTCAGGATATATATATATATGGGCAGGGGAGGCAGTCTCTGTGTTTTCTGTTTCCAAAACAGAGAGGCTTGGGGACATTAAGCAGACTGTGACTACGTCACTAATTGGACAGTATACTAAATAAACTAAATAAGCAAATGTCTTGTGAATGCGGAAGGCAATCATCGTTATGATCAGGGATGCTGAGGTATGGAACTCCCAGAGAGCGTGCAGCACATACTAAAGATTCTGTATGTGGTCCACCTGGCTAGGAAGGAGATCTGCAGAAAGAATCAGAAGAGCAGATGAAAAAAGGAAGTTTGAGAGCAACACAATCACAAGTGAATGAAGAAGAAAGATAAAATCTATTCTACACAGTAAACATAATTTCGAAGGAGTCAAAATTTAAATATGATAATACATGTATCAAAATAATTTGTGCCCCCGCCCTGCCCGGTGTATGTGTATTGGTCTGTCTGTCTCTATGTCTCTGTGTGTTGCTTTAATTTGCTTTTTTTCCCATATTCTTGAGACAGGTTCTCACTCCGTAGCCCAGGATAGCCTCAGAGATACTGGGGTTGTAGGCATGGTACACCGCTTCTGGTTAGTCTGTGAAGCTCCTATCCATAATTATTCTATTTATAATATGTCAATCAGTATAAATTTTTGCTGACAAATCTCTCAAATTTAATCAAACAAGAGAATCCCCGAGGAGGATGAGACAGAGAAGCTTCAGGAACAAGTGACACCCAACGGAGCAGAAAGCGGTTGGGGTCCCACGAGGAGCAGCCAGCCCAGGACCACTCAGGGTATCAGCACTCCTGAGAACAATGGAATCTCATCTCCATTACTGTCAAAGGGCTCTCCATCACCATGGTGGGAATTCCTCTCCAGTCACTTGAGGTAGCAAGGTGTAGTGTGCATGTAAAATGTCTTTGCTGGATACTCCTGAGATGCCCCAGCAGAGGATGTGGGAGAAGCTGAAGAGAAAGAGCAGAATGCGGGGGAATTACCACATCTTCCCATCGCTCACAAGCTTAGAGGATACGGAGTCATCGTATTGGTCAAGCATCCTGATTTCCACCCGCCATGCCTAAAGAAGAGAGGATAACTGTCCAGAAAGAACCATTAAACAAAGAAGAGTCTGATGTAGTCGCGGTAAAACCTTTATACTAAACTCATATCTTCTTACTTCGCAGTATAGTCACAGTTCCAATTCACATAAAAATCAAAGGTGGCTTTGGAATTGGATTTGGCCCTCCTTCTCCAAATTCAAACATGCTGTTTAAATAAAATTCAGAGTTTCTGTCTCATATCAAAAGACTGTTGACGTAAGACAGAAAAAAGCAAAATCTAGGACTACTATTGTCTTAACTCTGTCTTCTCTCAAAAATCCTATTCCCTCATATTTATTTTCAACCTTATTGTTGCCTTTCCCTGTATGCTTACCTACTAAAGTTGAACTTTCTGTGCTGATATCAGGATTTATGTCTTCCACAGTGAACAAAAACTTCCTAACAGAAAGCTTTGAGTTCTCTGGAAAGAAGATGAGGCCCCACTTTATTGATTCCATTTGATTCAACTTCATTCTATCTGAACTCACAAGCAACACCTTAAAACCGGTTGGGACTACAAGGCTCAAGACAACTCCAGACTAGCTAGCTGAAACAGTGCACCTTCTGATACTCTGGCCAGAGCCTCAGATAAGAACTTCAATTAAGCATCACCCACCACACAGAGACTAGCTGTAAATGTTAAAAGACTGTAAACTTAAGCTGTAAACTTAAAAGATTGTAAAGGTTACAGCTAGTCCTCTCGAGACTTTTCTTTGCTTTAATTTTTTTTTTCCTACAGGATCCCATGGAGTCATCGTCATCCCATTTCAGCAGGAAGTAATCCTAAGAAAACAATGTCCCCTTTCCCTTCTGTTGGCATTAAGGGTATTTTGGTCTTTTTCTTTCTTTTTCTCTCATCGCTGAAAAATTGTCACCTGCTTAGGGTTGGTTTTAAGTTGAATAGGGTTGGGTATGAAGGTGATGCTCAGACTCAGGTGTCTCTTTTAGATGAGTTTAAGGGTCTGGATGGGAAGGGTGTGGTTAGGATGGGATATAGGTAGATTAACATATCTTCTTGTGAACTACTTTTAGCAACTATTAGCTATAGATACCCTAAATTGCTAGATTCTAGTATGTTGACTACATAGGGTCTTCTTTGTGTTTATGATATTTTGCACACAATTATAAAACTATATTGATACAACTTAGGATATTTTATCATTTTACACTTTACGGTTCTACCTCTCGTCAAGACATTTCAGTTCTATCTCTGTTATTGAGAATTATATATGTTTATAGTTGCATATTTTTCAGTCATTGTCTTGCTAAATTATATTGGAAAGTTTCAGCCATTGTACAACTATGTTTCTGAGAATTACAGTCTATAATTATCCATGTTTCTTATATCTATGAGATTAGTCAGACATAGATATTTGATCTTCAAACACTTCATAGGCTGCAGAATATGGCATTTAAATGTTTTAATATTAGTATTCCATTGGCAGAAGACACTATTGCTCCTGACAGCAAGGAGATATTCCTGAGAGTATGTTGGGTACTGATGACACTCCTTCTGGAGTCCATTCTCTCCACAGCTACTGGCCTCTTGGGCAAAGAACTGTCCCCACATCGACAGCTGACTTCAAACATGCTGTCCTACTGTGCATACAGGAGATAAACTTAAAAGATTGCTGAACCTTGCCAAGTCAGGGTAAGACAGTCTTTTACCTCCCTGCTTCTGTGTTGGTCAGTCAGACACTCTAGGCCTTAGCCAATGCTGGTTGCCCTACGCTGCTGTGAGACTTTGGGTGACTGTCCAAGTAGCCTGCTGTTTCTGTCTTTGCTGCACCTTTGGAAGTTGCTCACCTGCACTTCCTGCCTGCCCTCGTATTCTTATCTTTCTTCTCAGGCCTTTGACGAGGTTGAAGATTAAACTGTCACAATTATTCTTCCCTTTTCCTGGATAGAAATATTAGGTACAAGACTTAAACTTTCCAGTTTAGGACAACATCATAGTAATCTCTGCTATGCATTTACCCTAGGACTGGTTATGTGTTCATGCCAATCGCTCTATGTTGCTTCACAGGCAGTAGGTCTTAAATTATGTGGTTTACCTTTCCTTCTCCTAGAGCATACCTGATATTTGCTATCATTGTATAAGGTTTTGTATCAAGCCTAAATCTTCTTTAGACTAAAAAGGAAATTGTAGTAAGATATCCACCCTCCCTGCATCTGTCGCACCCGTGGGCGTGGTCACAGGTGCAGAAGTGACAGGTTAAAAGGATTGAATTGGGGCTGGGAAGCCCCTTCTTTGGGTAGCAGAGAGCATCCAGGTGACAGGGTCTGCATGCTTGGAGTAGGAGCCGGTGACTGTCAGTTGTTTCCTATGTAAGTTATTTTCTCCTGAGAGAGTCCTCTTCATCTTACTGGTCAAACATCCTGATTTCCATGCACAAAAAACGTGGTCTTTAAAAGCAGACCTCCTTCTCACCAAGTCAGCCACATTAAATGACTTCTACACATACTGAATGTTTGCGAATATACCCATTTAACTCAGACCAGTAAATGGAATTAGCTGGAACTTGGCCTCCCTAATTTATTTATTTATTTTTCCCTGACCTTCGGAACCGTGGGATGCAGGGATATCAAGGGGAGAGGGCTAAGGGTGAAGACCCTAACATGCAGTGTCTAAACCTATGTTGTAATATTGTCTATCTTTGAACTGGAATTGATCTGGACACAGCTTAATAGTGCAAACAGTATACATGGAAACAAACATGTTGCCTACCTCACAGAGATGCTCTGAGGTTAAAATGAGGCACACCTACGACTTGCTGGGTTGTGGGGAACGGGGGCGAATACACAGTAACCATCATCCCACATGGGCTACGTGGCCCCTCTCCCTTCCCAGTGTGATGCCAACATATCCGTGATGAAGAAAGCTGCCCTGGTCAGGTTCCCAGCCTCCTCCTCCTCCCTGAGCTGAGGACAGGGCCGACATAAGGACATTTGTATCCTGGGGTCTTGACTGCTTTCCTGAGCTTGTCTGGTCAAAACCTTTATTTAATTTGAACCTCAGTCTCTTTCAGGTTGTTTGCCTCTAAATACAGAATGAAAAAAAGGAACTCTATTTTTTTAAGGTTTACTTTATTTTCCATTACTTGTATATGGAGGATACACGTTAATGCAAGAGCAGTTTCCCACCGGAGTCCAGAGGAAGGTATGGGATCCCTTTGGTGTTGGCATTTCAGATGGTTGAGAGACGTCCAGTATGGGTGTTGGGAGCCAAATTCAGATCCTTTGCAAGTGTGCCCATGCCTTGACTTCTGAGCCAGCTCTCCATCCCCCCTCTGAACAACTGAGTTCTGTGTAGCATTAAAAGGAAGTATTTCAGCAGTGTGTCTGTGACTGGAGCCTGGCTGTTCTCTTCCAGACATCTCTAGCTGCTGTCTGGTGGTGGGATCCTACTCCAGTGACCTCAGCTTGGGTGCCAGATGGACTCAGCTTCATGGGCCTTCAGTCAAGCTCTTCCACCCACAAGTTGTGTGGCCTTAGACAAGTTACTTGACACCAACCTCCTGGGCCTCGCTGGCATCATCTGTATAATGAGGATGCTAATGAATTTGACACTTAAAATGTCTTTAATTATTGCGGGTCGCATGTGTAGGCAGTAGCTTCTGCTGGGATAATGTAGCAGAAAAGGCTCTATGATTGTTCCTGATAGAAGAGATAACTGTCAAGGACTCTGTAAAAACAGAATTAATGAGTTTATGAAGTTACAAAGAAGCAGTAGATACAGATTTCCTCCATCTTGGCCAGGACTATGTGGATCACATCGGAAGATGTAACCACGGGGAGAAAGGAGAGACACTGTGACAGTCAACCTCACCTGAAGACTGGCCACCACCCTCCTGTGCTGTCTGAGACACACTCTACCCAAGGAGGCTCTCTCAAGCTAAGCTGCACAGTGAAATCTTTGGAAAATGTTTTCCCCAAAGCGATCTTCAAAGACTCAAAAGGAGAAAGACACATAATTTAAAATATACCTTCGCTTATATTTTTGGTTGTGAGGCTAGCCCTTAACGGCTGAGCCACCTCCAAAACAATACAGAGAAACCCTGTCTCAGAAAAAAATACACACACACACACACACACACACACACACACACAATCTTCGCTTTAAAAAGAAATCAAGAAAAGAGTGAGGTTACTTTCAAGTAATTTCTGTCACATTACTCCTTTATGGACGTACCTTGAGATTTGAAGAGGAAAGTCACAAACAAAACCCTACTTAAATTCTCATCAATGCCGATGCTCGTGCGCACCAGTGGCTCCAAGCCTTCACAATCCAGAAGCTCTCATAGAATGTAATCTAATTCCTTCCTGCTGTTCCAGCTCAGGCCTAGGTTAGTTCTGAGAAAACAAGACTGGAGTCAGAATACCATGAATTTGCTTGGTGCTTGCAGTCACCCACGTTTAAAAGGCGGGGCCGGGGGGGGGGCGGGGCACGGGAGGCTCGCTTTTGTGCTTTCTGAGATTCGGTTGTTTGTACAAGGCTGGACCATAAGCTGACCCAGAGCCGCTCATGGCAGCCTCCTCCTTGGCTCCAAAGCCAAGCTATCTTGCGAGAGCAACTCGGTCTGGTCTATGGTCCAGGGTCCTGTGGGATCCTAGGACCTAGCATTTTAACCTCTTCTCTGAACAGCTGTCATGATGACTTTTGACTACATGCTCTTCGTGCCGGATAGACTTCATTAATCCTTCTGCCAGTCTCGAGGAAGGAAGACTAAGTTTTTAGCACTCTCCCATCTGACTCAGTATGTGTACCAGCCAACGTATAAAATAAAGTACTCACAGTTACTAACCTGGTGACACTTTGACAAAACACTGTAATAATTAAAAGAAGGAGTTTCCCTGAACAACATTAACTACCAGCCAAGCAAACAGCAGCCTCGGTAAGTGATTACTGCTTGAGGCTTTAACAGTAAGTGCCCTGGCCTCGAAAGGGCATTATAAACATTTTCATTTTAAAAGGAGGAAACAACTCCAAGAGGTTCCATCATTTCCCCCAGGGTCACCCAATTTCAAAATGACAAAGAAGTCATTAAGCAAAGGGTAACTTCAAGGAGCACAGGTTTATTTGGGGTCAAAGAAATAATCTTAGCTTCATCCATTTGTGCTGTGTCCCCCTGTAGTCAGGAAAAAAGGGTAAGGTGAGATTTCAATGAGTTACTTAATAATGGCTTTTTTTTTGTATAGGATTCCAAACAACCTAAAATAAATTAACCCACTAGTTGACTACTACCACATGGTGAGTATGTATGCATGAGCGACTACATCAAAGGTGACACTCTGCTTTAGAGATAATAGGACAGAGAGGTGGGGTGAGCTGAATTGACACCCTAGAGCACACCATTGGCATTTAAATACATTAACAGATACCATCACCCCAGTTCTCAAAGCATCTGGTTCAAGGGTTTATTAAATGCTAAGTTCTTTAAAGTATATGCAAGAAAATATAGTACAATATTACAACTTCTAGAAATCTTTGTGTAGCTGGGCATAGCGGCAGATGCCTGTCATCCCAGTACATGGTGAGCTGAGGCAGGAGGATCCACATGAGCGTAAGATCAGCCTGGGATGCATAAGGAGATTGTTGTTGTAGCACCAGCAATGACGAAGATATCTTGGTGTAATTGAAACTCAGTTTGAAAAAGAAAATTGAAGGCAACAATAAACTGCAATGATGAGTTTGAGTAGACATTAACTCAAATATAAAAATACAGAGAAGGCAGCCAAAGACGGGCACTGGAATAGTCTGAATGTAAAATGTTCCCCATGGGCTCATCTGTTAGAACAGGTTTTCCCTGGATGGTGGCTCTGTTTGGGGAGGTTGTGAAATTTGGGGCACATGGATCCTACTTGGCATCTATAAAATCAGAGTTTAAGGATTATAGCTCAGCCGGGTTCCCACCCAAAGTCTTTGCTCCCTGGACACCAAGGATGCAATCAGCAATGCTTTTACCAGTCGTTCCCACCAACATGCTGTCCCCAACCCGGGGACACCTTCAACTGAATTCCTCAAACCACACACTGGAATAAATCCTTCCTTCTCTCAGTATTATCAGTACCTAGTACAAAAACAGAGCTGGGCGGAGGAAAGGATGGGAATGAGTTTGCCTTACCTGAGAACTCTGAGAAGCTATCAGAGGAAAGCCTACGTGTCGAGGATGTGTGTATTTGTAATTAGACTGCTAAACCTGGGGTGTACCACATTTCAGGTAGGGAGAGAAACAGGCATTTGAGTGTAGCAATGATGATGAATCCCATTTACTAGAATCTGAAAGGGAGGTTTTAACAGAGGACACAGACACAAAACTGGGTTTGAAACGGCTCTAAATTATAAAGAGATAAAAATGGTGTTGGGAAAAATAAGGCTAGAATCGGGACGTGGGATCTGAGCGGCAGGTCAGTATATGTGCTTACGTACACATATTTAACTTGCTTACCAGAAAAGATGACTTGACCAAACTAAATCGTCAATGACAATGGGATTTGAGCATTGCAACAAATGCTCTCGAAAGTAAAGACAGAGCTAATAATCTATAATTCTGATATCCCCAGTCTAATCCTTCAGGGATACAGTCTCTAATCCCATCGCCAAACTCAACACAGGTTAAATTTTATAGTACTAGCAAACAGCAAATATCAGGAAGGTTTCAACTGCACCAAAAATCCATATGGCTCCAGGGAGGAGTCATGGATGTTTTATTCTGCTTTGTTTAGTTCTGTTTTGTTTGTTTTATTTTGTTTTTCATCTTCAACCCAAGGCAATGGAGAAAAACAGAAAAACCTTTTCAACAAAGGAAATCCAAACAGCTTGTTGTACTTCATGGCTGGAGGGGGGGGGAATAGAAAGATATCAAACCTTATTTTTCTCCTGTCAAATTAAAGGTATTGGTCTTTATAAGGAATCTGTGCTACCCAAGTTAATTAGAATAAATCTGCCCTAACATGCAATTGGCTTCATTAAATGACAGCAAAACATAATCACTGTCTTTCAGGATGGAATGTGGAAACTGCCACAGAATGGCTTTAATTTTAGAATGTTGGGAAGGGTTTCACACAACAGCAAGTATAGTTTCACCAAAGATGTGTGGAAGCATTATAGACCTAAACTGCTATGCATGTTTGCTTGTAAAAATAACAGCAAAAGAATACTTCTAATGAGTAAAGTGAAGCTTCAGCCTGTATGCAGTATTGACTTGTCTACTAACAACCCGCCGAGGTCTTCCTTTGTGACCTTCATGCTCAGCTCTGTAACAGAAAGCTCATTGCTCCCATGTTGAGTACCCCCAATATAAACACTGCTGTGCCAGCCTGGGGAGACAGCTCTGTCAGTGCAGGGCTGGATGTGAAAGCTCAGGGACCTGTGCTCCATCACCAACACTAATACAAAAGAAGCTGGCCATGGTGGCACGTCCTTGCAGTCTCAGCACTGGGGAATGGAAAACGGGTGGATCCCTGGCACTCTGAGCTAACTAAATATCTGCCCATATAATATCCATGATAAATAAATGAATTTGTGACCAATGGCAGAGACCTTTTCTCAGAAACACAAATGAACATTTTGTAAGGAACAAAACTGGAGACCAACCTCTGATTTCCCCACTCATGTACCAATGTGTGCACACATAACATCATGTGCAACAGACACACACATATCACACATACACATACACCACACAGACATATACACACACACATCACAAATACACACACAACACACAGACACACACACATATCACACATACACATACACCACACAGACACACACATATCACATATACACACACAACACAAGACACATACATACATATCACATAAACATATACTCACACACACACACACACATATCACATATACACACAACACACAGACACACATACATATCGCACATACACCACACAGACACACACACATATCACATACACACACACGACACAGACACAGACACACACATATCACACATACACATACAACACACACATATCACATATACACACAACACACGGACACACATACATATCACACATACACATACACCACACAGACACAGACACACACATATGACACATACACATGCACCACACAGACACAGACATATCACACATACACAAACACCACACAGACACACACATATCACCACACACATATCACACATACACATACACCAGACACACACACATATCACATATACACACAACACACAAACACACATACATTTCACACATACACATACACCACACACACACACAAACACACACACATATCACATACACCACACAGACACAGACACACACATATCACACATACACATACACCACACAGACACACAGACACACACATACACATATCACACATGCAAATGCACACATACAAACCAGATAAAAACAGCCACTCCTCCAGTAACTTTGGTTATTGCTTCTAAGCAAAGTACTGCTTTTTAGCACAGTCAGTTTCAGCCTAAACAGAGGAAGACGAGACGTCAGAAACCAGCGGACGCCCCCGAGCCCACCTCGTCCTTTCCTGGGGTGCACAGTTACCAGAAGCAAACGCAAAGGAGTTCAGAAGTGCTACACTCACGAATCTGTCAAGGCCACTCCAGCAAACCCAGTGGGCACGCTTGCTTGGTCTTTCCGATCCTTGAGAAACAGAAGTCATCGCTCCAATGACTCCTGGCCGAGATTTAGTGATCCCTGCAAACGTGTTACACCGTTGTCCCTTCCATGGCTCCTCTAAGAAAACGGTACCAGAGTCAGCTATGGATTGACAAAGTGACAAATCACTTTTACACATTGCGGCACTTAGAGAAGGCATGGGAGCTAGGAATTTAGACAACCAGACTACACTGTGCTCACAGGCCTCCCTTGTAGTGACACAGTGACATCTCATCCTCGAACTGTGACTATAAACTGATTAACAGAGGCTGAGCTCCCTTAGGTGGTGTAAGAAATTCCACTCTGCATAGCCCCCTTCAGGTCAGAACCTACATTGTCTGGCCTTGCTTACAGTTAAGTGTCATCACAGCACTGTCTTCTGACAAAATAAAAGCACAGGCAGAGTGATGGGGAAATGATACTAGGCCTTAAAAGCACGTCTTTCCAGTTCGGTCCCTCTTTCCTTATTGCAATTATCTTCCCGCTTTCTACGGAGGATGCAAAACCATGAAATTAGAAGACCCCGGGGAGGACCCTTCATTTGTCACCCATGCCTATATCTTCTAAGTCTCTGTCTCCTGGTAGCTGTATCCCAAATCCTGTGCCTTACATAGGTTTATATAGCCAAACCTGTCAGCTAATTGTTTTTGAAATAAATTATTAATCAAAAGGTAGCTATGAATATTCAATTTCTTGACACCTTGGATTAACATAAAGCAAACTCTGCTGTTCCCCCCAGTGATCGGTTTTGCTGTGGCTGTTCCTTAGCTGTAAATGATATCCTTGTCCATCAGCAGTTATTGCAAACTGTCACAATTACAGTTTTTGAGACGGGAGAATATATGACAAAGCAGTTTTAGAAGAAAAAGATGAGTATTAATTGCCAGGGGCTGATGGTGTACACCTTTAATCCCAGCACTTGGGAGGCAGAGGCAGGCGGATCTCTGTGAGTTCCAAGCCAGCCTGGTCCTCGGAGGGAGCTCCAGGACAGGCTTCAAAGCTACACAGTGAAACCCTGTCTCAGAAAAAAAAATGAGCTCTAATAGATAAAAATTTAAAAGCTAAAGGTTATGAGGTCCATCCTGTTGAAGTAGAAAATGTTCTCTTCAACATCTGCAGTGACTTTTAAAAGGAAATACGGGCCAGGGCGTATGGGGATGGATGCCTGAGGCGGATGTGTACACACTCACTGCTCGCCAAGTGTGGATGTGGTTGGTTTTTCCTCAGTTTCATGTGCTTGGTGCTTGCTTTAGTTAGGATTTCTATTGCTGCAACGGAACACCATCACCAAAAAGTAGGTTGGGCAGGCGTGGGTTTATTTGGCTCCCACTTGCACACTGATGTTTAACACTGAAGGAAGTCAGGACGGGAACTCAAGCAGGGCGGGAACCCGGAGGCAGGAGCTGATGCAGAGGCCATGGAGGGGAGCTGCCTACTGGCTTGCTCCTTTTCATTATAAACCTTCGCTAGAGTTACCAGTAATGACCACACGACACAGTCCGACACAGTCCGTACTAGGCTGTTTTAAGATTCCCTCTGCCAGTGGAATTAACTCCATAACTCCTCACTTTAGCCTCAGGCAGACTCTTTGGACAAGGGTACAAAAGCAGCCACATTTCTCACTGAAATTTCACAATAATGACCTCTAGGCAACGTATTAAATAATTAATTAGTGTCTTCTCCTCAGAAACATCTCGGGCGGGTCCCAGGCTGCGCCCTAGCTCTTTTCCACAGCCAGATCTTGCCCTGTTCATCTCAGGTCTGGCAACATAGCGAGGGAAACCGCATTCATGCTTGACACAAAGCGCTAAGTAGAAAGCAGTCTCCCTTCGGCGTGGGAGTCCTCCTTCCTCTCTTCCTGTCTGACCTTCATCTTGCGTGTCCCCCGTGTCCCTTGTCCCTCTTCTACCGTTTCTACTGCACAGGCTGGTTAAGCAGCGGCAGACAGCTGCTGCCCTCCCGCACTCTTTTGACCTTGTAGGTTACAGAATGTACCTCCCGGGCTTGTCTAGAAAAGAAACATCACACCGCTGCCAGCGAAGAACCTTCAGAAATGTTTCAGTTGCCCTCCGGTCACTGCACACACGGGCACCCAAACAATGAGCCCACCAGAGCCGCCAACACTGGGCACAATCATGGCGTACCCACAAAGTCACTTCCTTTATGCAGTCAGGCACACGACACAGCAGGCGAGTACATCATGGGCTGTGGTTACTGTGGGTCAGGGCTCCCTGAGAATGGCGTTTCGCATGCTGTGGTTTTTCTCCGTCCGCTTGTGACCCACCCTGCCTCATTTTGCCTAGGATCTACCACGTGGCTTGGATGTAGCTGCTTCATCTTAGCTTTGCCTACACAACTTCTTGTTCTTGGCCCCAAGGCTGAAGCCTGTGTCGTCTTCTTCTCTCTTGTCCTCCTTCATGGATAAGTCTACTTCCAACACACACACTATACAGTAGTAGTCACACTGATGTCCTTGGGAGCGTGCGTGGCACTGGGGTCTAGCTAGTCGTGGGCACTTTATGGTCTCAAGATGAAGACATTCTAGAGTGAAATTCTGGAGTCAAAATCCATACACGCAACTCCAAAGCAATTTTAAATTGTTAAAAAGGTTACGACCTGAGAAAAAGATACTAGGGCCTTATCTTTTGATGGGACTAACAAGTGTGAAATAGGATCCAGTAAAGGGGTGTCTGTGTGTGTGTGTGTGTGAGAGAGAGAGAGAGAGAGAGAGAGAGAGAGAGAGAGAGAGAGAGAGAGAGAGAGAGAGAGCAACACGTGTTTGCTTGGCATTCCATCCACTGGGGATGGGTGGAGCTCAGAGCAGATTTTATAAAAAGATTCGTTTTACTTACTGATGTGTGGGCATGTGTCTGGGTGCACATGTGTGTACAAGAGCGCAGGTGTCCATGGAGGTCAGAAACATCAGGTCCCACTGAAGCTGAAGTTAAAGGCAGGAGTGAAAGTGAACTACCTGACATGGTAGTCATCCTGGGCTACACAAAGTGTTCCTGGCTAGCCTGAACCACAGCATGAGAACCAGTCTCAACAGGGACAATGTGTGTGTGTGTGTGTGTGAGAGAGAGAGAGAGAGAGAGAGAGAGAGAGAGAGAGAGAGACAGAGAGAGAGACAGAGAGAGAGACAGAGAGACAGAGACAGAGAGAGAGGAAGGGAAGGAGAGGGAGAGAGAAAAGGGAGGGAGGGAGGGAGGGAGAGGGAAAGAGAGGGAGGGGGATAGGGAGAGAGAAGAGGGAGGGAGAGAGAAATAGAAAGCATACAATGAAACAGGGAGAGAGCAAGAAATACTGAGAAGCAGATGGTATTTGTGTGACATTGAAGCAGCAGGGAGGACTTTTTGAGGGAGGATGTGATGGTTTAAATGAGAATCACCCCCCCATACACTCATGTGCTCAAATATTTGTTTCCTGCATGGTGGAATGGTTTGGGAGGATCAGGAGGTGTAGCCTTGTTGGAGGAGATGTGTCACTGAGGATGGGCTTAAGGCTTCAAAATCTCACACCATTCCCTATTCTCTCCGACTCTCTGTCTCTCTCTGTCTCCTCTCCTCTTCTTTCCTCCCTCCCTCCCCCCTCCTGCTTACAATGGATCCTATTTAAGTTCTCATCTACTACTCTCGTGCCTGCCTGTTGCCATGCTCCCTTCTGGGATGGAATCTAACCACCTGGAATCGTGAGCTCCAATAAATGTTTTGTAAGTTGCCCTAGTCATGGTGTCTCTTCACAGCAATAGAAAAGTGACCAAGACAGAGGAAGAGGACTAGCAACAGGAGATCAGAAGGGATATAGGAGAGCAGCCTCTGAGGGACCAATAAAAACAAAGTGTGGTGACCTACATGTGGGAAAATTCCATAACAGACCTTATCACTTTGTGTGCTAACTTAAAGATTGATAAATACAAATAAATGGAATGTTTTAAATAAACACAAAATAAGTGGCTGAACCCTTAGGTTTTTCTGAGATGCTGTTGAGCAGTCCTCACAACACTGGCTCAGGACCAGGGACACTTCTCTAAGCCACAGCATGCTAAAAACGCCAGAGTTCACATCTCACCCCCGAGGGATAGCATTGGAATTTGGAGGGTGAAGACTGAATCTGTTTTCACTACAGCCTTCCAGATAATTCAGTCAGCTTGCTACTCAGTCAGAACCCCTGGGGTTTGGCAGGTCTATAACACTCAGAGAACTAAAAATACTTGCTATGTTTTTCAAATACTCTAAATAAAACACAACAAAGGCTGGTCAACAGCTCTACATGGAGAAAAAAATGTTTACTATGTAGTCCCTCTCGGGAAAAGGACATCATTGTCAACAATTAGAGTCTCATATGAGCAATCTGTTGTCCCACTAAACACTGGTGGCTTGAGGATCTTGGAAATTTTTTTGTGAAAAAAGGACTGGGGGATACAGGAAAAGAGAGGATAGAGAAAGAGCAAGAGCAGAGATGGAAATGTGCTTATTCCGTTATGTGAGACCAGGTTTTCTGAAGGGATATGCTAAGGATAACTGGAGGCCAGAGTATGGTTGGTTGGTTCTTTTACTAGATGTTCATTTCTGTTAGCAGCAGGCAAACTAATACAGATGACAGTTTTGAATATAACGTTTTGAATATGTCTTGAGACACAGTGAGTATTCTGAGTAGAATCCAAAACAGAACACATATAGGGAGCATCTCTCTGACCAGGGCCTTTACTGTATACCCTTAACTTTCTTTAGGAACTCTTCAGCACCTCGGGGACAGAAAATAGAGACTTTAGTGTCTGAGAGCTTTGTATCCTGAGATGCTGGGGGTAGCATGGGCTTTTGAAACCTCAAAGCTCACCCCCAGTGACAATCTTCCTCCAACAAGCCAGACCTACTCCAACACAGCCATGCTTCCTAATTCTTCTAATCCTTCTCAAACAGTTCCATTTCCTCAAATATGTAAGTCTATGATGGCCGTTCTCATTCAAACTACAACACTCTACTCCCTGGACCCCCAGAGGCTTGTATCCATATCATAATTCAAAATGCATTCAGTCTCATTTCAAAAGTGCCCATAGGGTTTCAGCTTCAACACTGTTTAAAAGTTCAAGGCCTCTTCTGAGAATCAAGGCACTCTCCTAGCTGTAACCTCTTGTAAAATGAAAATTAAAAAGCAAATCACACACTTCGGACCTACGATGGCACAGGATGTACATTCCCATTCTGAAAGGCAGAAAAAGAAAGTGTAGTGAGGAAACACTGGACCAAAGCAAGACTGAAACCCAGCAGGACGAGCTCCACATCTTGTTTCCCTGTGTCAATGACAAAGGGTTTAGACGAATCTTCCCTTACAGATTTACCGACTGCAGCCCCTTCTCTCTCAGGCTGGCTCCACATTCTGTCTGTAGCCTCCCTTGGCAAGTGTCCCACGGCTCTGGCATCTCCAACACCATGGAGTCTCCAACATAACCCAGGCTTCATTTTCACAGCTTCATTCAATGGCCTCTTTAGGCCTCCATGTGTGCAACCCCGTGTCACATGCCTGACCTCAGCAGCATTCTTTCCTAATCACGGAAGAAGGTTCCAGAACCCCTTTCCTGTATACTCCTTGATGAATCTAGAAACAAAGCTGACAAGTTCTGCTTAGCAGGGACTGGAACCTGCACAACTCTTTGAGTCACATTTGCATAAGCTTTCCATTGTCACTTATGTCTAGGGAACCCCTTGGGCCTTTTCCTTTTATAGTTTGAGAGATTAGCTGGGTGGGGTCTTGCCTTGAGATTATCTCTCCCTTTATTTCATTTAGTATCCTGCTTTTCTGCAACCTTTTCAAACCTAGAACCTGGCTCCAAGCTCCTTCCTGGTGCTTCTTTTGTCTTCAAATTGTGCATTTTGTATTTTTCTTTGTCTACTCACTCCTTTTCATTGCAGCCCCACATAAGAGAGTGGCTGGCCACTAACAACCGTATGACATAGTCAATATTAAACAGTCTTGAAATTTCCTCTGCCGATGATGTTGGTCCAAAGTTCTTCAGCTTAGCCTCGAGAAGATTCTTAGGACAAGGGAAAACAAAAGCCAAAAAACAGCCACATTTTTGCCAAGATATTTCAACAATGGTCTCTAGGCCACGAGCTAATATTCTGTCCCCCTGAAGCCTCTGAGTCAGGCCTACACTGTGCACATGGCATCTCAGCACTGCTGCATACACTGACCCTACTAGGGTGGCCCATTCAGTCCTACTTAGTGTGTTCAACAGCTTTTCTAGTCTGAAGTCCCCAAGTCTTCCATAGTGCTTCAAAGTCCTCCATAGTGCTCCATAGTTCTCCATAGTCCTCCAAAGTCCTCCATAGTGCTTCAAAGTCCTCCGTAGTTCTCCATAGTGATCCAAAATCCTCCATAGTGCTCCATAGTTCTCCATAATCCTCCAAAGTCCTCCATAGTGCTCCATAGTTCTCCATAATCCTCCAAAGTCCTCCATAGTGCTCCAAAGTCCTCCGTAGTTCTCCAAAGTCCTCCATAGTGCTTCAAAGTCCTCCAAGTCCTCCATAGTGCTTCAAAGTCCTCCAAAGTCCTCCATAGTGCTCCATAGTTCTCTATAATCCTCCAAAGTCCTCCATAGTGCTCCATAGTTCTCTATAATCCTCCAAAGTCCTCCATAGTGCTCCGAAGTCCTCCATAGTGCTTCAAAGTCCTCCATAGTTCTCCAAAGTCCTCCATAGTCCTCCATAGTTCTCCAAAGTCCTCCATAGTGCTCCATAGTCCTCCAAAGTCCTCCATAGTGCTCCATAGTTCTCCATAATCCTCCAAAGTTCTCCATAGTGCTCCAAAGTCCTCCATACTTCTCCAAAGTCCTCCATAGTCCTCCAAACAGAGCCTTCAGTTTGATCATAGACTTACACCACTCCTCGGTATCAAACTCTGCCCTAGTTACTTTTCCATTGCTGTGAAGGGACACCATGACCAAGGCAACTTATAGAAGGAGACATTTAACTGGGGGCTTGCTTGCAGTTTCAGAGGATTGGTCCATGGCCATCATGGTAGACAGGAGTGTGGTGACAGGCAGACAGGCATGGTGCTTGAACAACAGCTGAGAGCTTTACAGCCTGATCCACAGGCCAGATGCAGAGCA